TCTTTTCTAAATGGATGTCCAAATTTTAGAAATGAGTAATCGACACATACTTGACAGAAAACTTTTAACCTGATAAATGTAAGTGAATACAAATTAAAAAGTAGTTCTTTGTTCTTGCCACCCAACATCGTAAGATACGCATTATACGGAGTATATCCTCAGAAAATTATACCTCGTAAGACACAAATGTGCTGAGATAAAGTAATTAATATTATTAATGATAAAAAGTAATACACCGAGCACGTTATTACGTAGTTAGACGTGCATCAACTTGACTCTTGAGTTAGGAGGCTTGGTTAGAATTTATTCCATATCTGGTAATATTATAAAATTCTGAACACGGTCATTAAAAAAAAAAATTGAACCCCGCTTCTTCTTCTTCTTCTCCTTTTTAAACGAAATAAAAATTTGAACCTCGAATCACAACTATGTACTTTCCATTCGATATATCCTCTAGTTGTTATCATCTGGGTAAATCTCACATGACTTGTTTGATATTTTATTTAGCCTATAGGCATGTCAACAAAATGTTTAGTAAAAGTTTGTAGTCAAATTTACAAAGTAGCTAGCCTCTCAAAAATGTTTTTATATTCCAGCCAATCTATTATCTCCCCATTTACGGGTAGTCACTTTTTATTTCTAACATTTTACCCAACCTAGTGAACTACAGTTTGAATTTATGTTAAAAGAAATACTTAGAATTAGTACCTCTTTGAATTTATGTTAAAAGAAATGCTTCTAATTAGTACCTCATCATACCTTAAACATAATTATTGCCTCTAATAAAGTGATACATGTGCACAATCAAAATATAATACATTGTGGAGTGCTTGGTTTAACTGGTTAAACATGTTGAATCAACTGATTATAGAGTCTTGAGTTTGGGTCGTAAGATATACAATCACTTTAAATAAATATACCAAAAACATCTCAAAGTATCCATAAAGCCATCATTGATAATAAAACAATTCCACACACACTGTATCATATCATGGCTACCTTACCCTTTTTTTTCAATATAATTATCTATTTGTATGAGTATATGGTGTTTCAAATATTTACATACACTACCGCATACAAAAAATATTTTTTACACCTGGTTTTCATATCAGTTAAAAAAACCAATGTAAAAAGTGTTGTGGCTTTTGTACACCGGTGTATATCTTTGAATTGACTCTCTACACTCTGACTCTATCTTTTCTTTTTACTTTGGCCAATGTGGGTTAGGAAGAATATATATATATATATATATATTGTGACCAGCATAGATTAACATTAGTTATCTCATATATATAGACACACATCTTATACTATATTTAAATAATATATTAACATTTTTTTTGGAATGCAAACTCTCAAGCCTGTGCCGTGTAGTTTGAAGCATTGCAGCGAACCACAGAGACAGGATAGCAAGCATACATATTTTTTATGATATGTTTATATTAACATATATTAAATAAATGCAATTGTTATATTTGGCATAAATAAAACCCAAATACGTACTACCCATAAAAGTTGGTCCAAGTTCCTATACTTTTATGATGTTAGTTTTTATATGTTTTTTTGTTATTTCAAGGTCCTTAAGTTTTACTATTTATTTGTAATGTTATGCAAAGTGTTACATATTCAGGGATAATAGTATTAGGAGTTTTTTATTCTTTTCTGCAATTTTTTGTCTTATCTATAATTTTTAAGTTATTTATTGTAATTCAAAAAATTTAAAAACGGATATCAAATTGATAAAAGAAAAATAATTAGAATTAAAATTTTTTGATATCACAAAAATTTAAATATAATTTAATGTTATTTATTTTATGGATTAAGAATTAAATAAAAAATGAATTCAAAATATTAAAAATATTTCTAAATTTTTATTATTTATTATCTTCTCTCCTATGTGTGTTATCTTTCTCATTAAAAAAAAATTTAAATATAAACTCATATTATTTTTTTAATGAATTTATATTTGTGATTTCAATCATTAACAACTAATATATATTCAAATATTTCTATAAAAATTAACAAATTATCAATTTACAAATTATAACAAAATTTTTATTTATAAATTGTAAGAAAGATTTACATTATCTTTTAAATGTAAACAACATATTTAGGAGTTATAAATTATAAATTTAAAAAATATTATCATTATTATAAATTTATAAGAAGATATATTACAATTAAAAAAATAAATTAATTTTTTTAAAAAAATAGGCTAGCCAACAGGTCAATTCATTTTACTAATTCCTTCAACCAAATCTATCCAAATTGCTGGGTTAAATGGGCTAGTCTATAAGCTCAATCATTTTTTCAGCTCTATATACTTACTAATAAAGTCTTATATTGACAACAGAGTTTGGTGGTGTGGTAAGATATTTGAGTTTTATATCAAATATAATCATATAAAAATTGCATTTATTTAATATGTCAATATGTTATTTAAATATAATGTGCAATGCATAATGGGTGTTCGCATAAGATAAGTAATGGTCACACAAAATGGGAGAATTACATCCAATATTAATTACTCACATGTCTCTAAGTTCAATTATCAATGAATTTGAAAATAATTAATTGTATTAAGTGAAATCTTAAAATAATATTCCTAACTGTAATCAGCCGAAGGGAAAAAAATTAGTCAGAGCAGGTGCCCCAAAAAATGAAAGTGGGTATGACGTGTCAGCACCTAATATGAGGTTTCCAGGTCTTTACTCCTCAGTCTTCACCATTGCTCAGTGACAACTGGCAAAAACCTTTGACCTTTGGACCAGATTTAACAAAATAAACGGCCAGGATCTGCACCAAGGGACAAAAACCAGGGGAGGTTCCGTGCCTTTCTGTGAGTTCGTAACAATGAGTTAGAGCTTAGATTTTTTATTCAACAAGTTCATTATATACTACGTAGAAATCAATTCATAAAATTGATAAGATTTAATTTACAAAAAATAAAAATCAAAAATCAAAAATTAATATTAATAAAAATGAAATATGAAAAATAGGTTGTCCTATTTTAAAATTTTTATATTGAGTATGATAATCTATCAATGCATATTAATTTAATTTTGATAATTTAGATTTGAAATATATATAAATTAAATTATGATCACATTTTTTATTTAAATTATTTAATCATGTACTTTTAACATGTACTGTATTTATTAATAAAAGTAAGCTCATATATTTAAGTTTATGATTTAAGTTTATATTCCTATCATGAGTTTATTAATAGGTCAGATTTATATATTGTTTTTGATATGATCGATTTAGCTTTCAATTTGTTGGCCAAAAAAATTATTTAGCTTTCAATTTGAAGTAATTAATTATGATATAAAATAGTTAGAAAATATAATATATTGTCTCACTAAATACTTTATGTGTTTTGTAGAGAAAGCAAGTTAAAAAGGACCCAAAACATTAAAAGTGAAAAAATAGGTCGGTTTGGCCCTTAAGTGCTTAGGCCCTTAAGCGCTTAGGTCCTTAAGCCTGTTTTTCAAAAAACGATCAATTTTTAAAGTATGGCCTTTATTTGAAGGGTTTAGGATTGGCCTATAAGCCCATTTTATTTTAAAAAAATTTAAAAAATAAAAAAATAAAATAAATAAATATAAATAAAGATATAGAATCTTAATCAAGTTTTAAAATGAATATTAAAATTTTCAATCCAATCAATCTTATCAAATCTGATAAATACAAAAACTTGTATTAATATTAATCAAAATCAAAAAATAAACCTCACAAATTAATCATGTTTAAGAAATTAATAAAATTTTGTCGATATTGTGATAAAATAAATTGTAAAAGAATCAATACCAGTTATTTTAATAATAAAATACTTAAAAATTATTATTTTTTTAAGAAATAAGGTTTGAAGGGTCGTCCAAATTTAAATTTTTTTTAAAGTCTATTAAAGTTGGGTCTAAAAGTTTTAATTTTCCAAAATCTCATTAATTTTTTAAGTCTAAGCATTTATTTAAATAAGAACTTCAAACTCCATCCTTCAAGTCGCATCCTTATTTTAGACTCTTCAGAACACACCAAAAGACAAAGGAAAAGCTGAAAATGTCAGTACGTGCTTCGACAGCAGGCGCATGAAATGGCAAAGGATTTGACAATGGTGGATGGAAGGGCTGGCATGGGCCCTCACTGCAAGCAGACGAAAATGCAAAAGGCACAACCGTGGGCGGATGAAAAATCAGAAACAAGCGTTAAGTCCTAACTGAATAGTGAATAGCTATTTACTAGTTTCTTTGTTATCTATTAGTGCTTCAGTGTTCATGAATCATAATAACAATCATCAATTTTCCGTTGAGGTGAAATCGAAGCAAATTTGTGTTTAATTTGTTGATTGCTTCAAAAGGCCTCCACAATACATGTGTCACATTTACTTCGTGCTTGCTACTAACTGAGATGTCTAATGTTGCTTTGCCTGGCCCAATGTTCATCAGTTAAATCAGAACTAAACATTGTCAATTATACGTATGTTGAGAGCGACTGTCATTGATTCAACTAGCGATGACGTTGCTGGTTGCTGCGAAAATGATGGCACCTCTATATATGCCAAGTTTGTCTAGCCAACGAAGAAGATAAATGCATGATGATATATAGAATGACAAATGTTACCCTCTCCTTGAAGATAAATTGTTTCTTATTTTCATTCTTTTAATTAATTATTATATTCCTTTTTCAACCATTTGTTTTTTTTTCCTAAAACAATGAAGTTGACTTCTTACTTTTGAGCTCAACTTCTAAAATAATTCAGAAATTATCATTATTATTACTATTTCAAACTCATATATTTCGGGGGAGTGACTATTTACTTGCAAGTCTGATATCCTTGGTTATATCTCCATTTATCTTTTTTTTTTTTGACATCATAAAATATTGGTTTAAGTCACTATTAAACTACCGCAATATCTTGGCCCCTGGGAGTATATTATAATAGACCGCGAACATTAAAAAAGTCCTTAAAAAGAACTAGAAGGCAAGGGATAAAGTTCACGGTATGGAAATGATGAGATTCTCTTTTATTCTCAATTTTGCTATTTAATCATACGCAACGCAATAAAATTTCCAGAACCAACAACGTAACGAAGGGCCAGACCTTTTTTTATTTTTTTTTTTGGGGTTTGGGTGGGGTGGGTGGGGTACAACAGAAGAGAATACGGTGCAGCATAGTGAAGATTGAAGAGTTAGAACCTAGGAGGTAGAGGCCCTGACCAGGGACGTGATGGTAACTGAGGGGCCCAGTGTGGGCTTACCAAGCTTCACTGTAAACGTGTCAAACCTCAAGAAGAAGTCCACCAAAAACACCCGTAGAACCAACTCTACCAGATTCTTCCCCGGACACTGTTTATTCCCGGCCGTCGGATTCTCCGTCTCCCTCCCATTCGACCAGTACACGTACTTCAACAAGCTTTCGCCCTCTCCGACGAACCTGTCTCCCACAAACTCCTTTGCATTCTTGAACACCCTCTCATCCTTCGTCGCAAATGGCTGAAACCCAAAGATCATCTCTCCTTTCTTCACCACAAACGTCGCGTCGTGGCTCTGAATCACCAGATCCGCCTTCGCCTTCCCGTACTGGTACGGCACCGGAGGCTCGATCCTCATCATCTCCCACACCACCGACTTCACCAGCGCCATCTTTTCCAGTGCCGTGAAAGTGACCCCACCTTCTTCCTTCACGACTGTTCTCACTTCGTCGGCGATTCTCTTGTGCAGGCTCTTTCCGGCTAGCCCTAACCACTTCATCAGCGTTGGGATCACTATTTTCACCCCGCCGTAAGTGTTGAAGCCCAGAACAAAGAGGAGGTTGTTGCAGGCTTCTTCTCGAGATAGCCCGTAAGTCGAAGCTAAATCAAGAGCTTCCGTCGCCGAAGTGTACAGGGCTTTATAAAGCTTTCTCTGGTCCCATTTCAGCAACCACCCAGGAAACGGCAGCGTATGGAGGAAGAAATCTTCCACCACGTTTATCGGGAAGAAGTACCACGGTAGCTCCAGTGATCCTAGAGGAGCAACCTGTGTTGTAGCCATTTTCGTCAGAATCAATCTACGCGCATAATCTCAATCCAAACATGAACGGTTAAAAAGCGTTGTTACCTGCGGGAACACCCAGAGCTCGAAGAGCTTAGATGCGAAAGATCCGAGGTTGGTCTGAGCGGGGTCCTTACCTGTGTAGAGTCGGAAGACGAAATTGAAGAGCTCGGCGTCGCTGATGGAGTTGAGCGAAGCGTGGCCGTGGTCTTGTACTTGGTCGCCTAGCTTGAGAAATAGCTCGTTCAAGTAGCTCCGTAGGAGAGGGATGGTCTGGTCTTTCCGTGAAGCAAGAAGAGCGAAAAAGAAGCTCTTGATCTGCTGGTGCTTCTTCTCTGAAGGATCGAGGTAGGCGCAGACGCGGTAGCCGCCGGTGAAGTCCTTGGAGGGCATGTAGGTGCCGGTGAAGACGTCGCGTTTCTCGACCTTGGAGGTGTCAAAGAGGATGGGAAAGCTGAGGGCATCAAGGACGGCGACGACCCGAGGGTCGGAGGCGTTGAAGGGACCGGGCGGCATGTTGGTACGGAACACCGTGGATTTGTACTTGTCGATACGAGATTGGAAGAACTTGTCACGACCTTGATTATAGAAATAGTCGAACCTATCAAAGATGGCTCCGAAGAAAGGGATGCCATAGCTGCCCGGGATGGGTCTCAAAGGAAGTTTGGTGGCAGTGTCGGAGCTGGAATTAGAAGACATTGTTTGGGTCTTGTAAGATGGATCAATATGAACCAAAATACTGGTTTTTTGTTTTTGTGGGGGGTGGGATATATCAATGAAACAGAGTGTGTGTATATATAGAGTTCAATTCACTTAAATATATTAATTAATTAGGCTTGTGATATGCGTGATCGTAAAAGGAAATGCAATATTAAAATAAGTGATGACATGTGGAGGCGATTGCATGGAGGTATCATGGAGCAGCGTGGAATATGCATCAATGTAAGGTCAATTATGGACACAGAGACAAAATAGCAGGTTTGTGATATAACCTATGTATGTGATACACGTACACTTGGAATCAGGTGAAGTGAGTAATCAAAATTCATTTATCTTTAATGCATGTGACGTATATTTAAAATTACAGGGTTATGAATAATAGAATAACAACATAGATAATTGTAACTTATATTTAAAATTAAAGGGAGTATTGAATTAAATTAAAGGGGTAACATAGTTGGTAAAGTATTTAATATTAAAGGAAAAACAAGTTCATGAACCGCCCTAGGGAGGGGGTTGACAGAGCTAAAAAAAAAATGTTACGGAGGAAAAAATGCATAACGTAAAATGTAAGAACTCATCAAAATTGTTGAAAAAAATAATTTTAATATTTAATTAGTTAATACTCTGTTTATCTCAAATTATAAGATACTTTTGAAGGAGTTTCTCTATCCTAAAATATAAAACACTTTAAATATATTAAGATTTTATTAAATGCATCAATTTTTATATTATCCTTTCTTTCTCTACAATTAATTTTTATCTCTTCTCTTTTTAATATATTAAATAATGAGTATTTTTGAATGTTTATATTTTTATTTAGAAAAAATAAGGTGATTAAGTATATTTAATAATATTTATTAGTATGTAAGATTTTATTTAAAAGTATCTTATAATTTAAGATGAAAAGTAAATAATAAATTTTATTTGCATTTTGTTTAACAAAGTGTGGAAATAAAAAAAAAGGAAACAAGTGGGCTCTTTTGGTGTGATTTGGAGCGTTTTTATGGGTAGAATGGGGAACAAGTTATTTCGGCCAAATTATACATAGGCAACTGTAAGTCTGTAATACGGTGTTCTGAGAATACTTTATAATTTATAATTACTCTATCAAAAAGCACTGATAAAATATTTTAGGAAGTAGTAGATTAAAGTTAAAATATCTGGGGGGCATAAAGTTAAGATTTCAGTGATTTTTTTGGGTGGTGGGGACGAGTGAGTAGGAATTTCTGACAAACGCATAGGAAAGATAAAAATGTAGTGGGGTTATGAATATTTTAATAATTTATATAAATTAAAAATTTTGGTCAAGACTCGTTAATGCTTTTAGGTTTTAGAACATTATTAAGTTTGTTATAAAAGGTATTTTAGTTTATTAAGAAATTATCACACAGAAAATTTAGCTGAAAAAGCTTGGACAACTATAAAGAATGTTTGGTTCAACTAATATAAAAATTGAATTATTCTCTCTATTTAAAAATATAAATATTTTTTAAAGAGTTAGATATTAAAAAATATAAAATATTTTTAATCTTTTGAAGTGTACTTATTATTTTTATAAGTGTCTTTACTATAGTAATTTTATATTTATTATAAGATATTTAATAAAGATAAATATAAAAGATATGATTAATTTAAAAGTAAGTAACTACTTTATTAAAGGTAAGATTTAATTAAAAATACTTTCTATTTTTGAATGGAGGGAGTAACTTATTCTTAAACTTAGAATTCTTCAAATCTTAAAATATACTGTCATGTTAAATAAAAACATTAAGAGCATTCCTAAAATATCCACGCGACCCTCGTTGATAACAGTTCCACACCACAACGATTTAAGTTAGTTTAGACGTGGGATGATAATACATCTACGAAGTTTTTCAAAATATTAAGGGATGGACTAATTTTTACAAAAAGTCTGGACAACTTACAGAGGCCTCAAAGCTAGTATAATTAAGAACTATGAAGAAGAGTCTTTTAATTAATAAGGATAGGAAGGAGTACTGTGGCTTATGTAACACTTCCTCAATTCTATATATTTAGAATTCATATCCAACATAATTAAGCATAATCAAAAAAAATTTTAAAATTTATTAACTATATATATATATATAAACTTGATAAAAGTTATAAACATATTTTAATGATATATTTTCCCAGTCCAACCTTTAAAATTCATTAACTATGTATATATCTAAAAACTTGATAAGTTTTCAATTCTGCCCTTGTTAAATAAACACATTTTAGTGATATCTTTTACTTGTCTAACTTTTAAAATTCATTAACTATATCCAAAAACTTGATAAGTTTTCAATCCTATCCTTAATAAATAAATATATTTTAATGATATCTTTTCCTTGTCTAACATTCAATGAAAGTTAAAAGAAAAAATTTGTGACAAATATTGATAATGTGATGTATAAATAGAATGAAAAAATTTGTAACAAATACAGGAGGAGGAGGGAGCATGAGATATGTTAAAGTTTTTTTTTTTTTTTGATGAATATGTTAAAGTTTTATACATTGCATAGAATTTTCTTTCATATATAGGCATATAGCTCACTTAACTCATCGCTGTGACGCTTTTTGTACGAGTTTTCAGCTTCCAGATACATATGCACTTCCTATATATAGAATAAGAGAAAATAATAAAAAGGATCAGACTGAACGTTTCTCAGCCAATGGTTCATTTCATCAAATTGTGAAATTTGGAAGCATTACTTGCCTATTAGTGATAAAAATTTATTATTTTAACTAATGTATTGATTAATAAACTCTTTTTTTTATAACTATTGATTAATTAACTCTAAACCACCGAAACCTTCCAGACTGATCAATAACTGAGAGTTTTTTTTTTTTTTACCAACATCAATAATTGAGAGTATGCAACATAGTGGAATCCATTTAAAAAAATTTCGATCCGTGCATCTAAATTGATAAAAGTGAAAAGATGCTTCCACCAGAGAAATATATATATATATATATATATAGTCATATAATTCATTACAATTGGGATATATCATTATTTTTCAAACACTTTTCGTCAAACCTTCTATTGACTTCGTGAATGCACATAGTATCAGAGAATAAATCTGATAAATATAACTCAGTGATGATCTAACACGTGTACTTATATTTCATTAGTCATTAATTTTTATTTTTTTGATAAACTCATTAGTCATTAATTATTAATTAGTATTAATATAGTCTGTATATTGGATTGAAGAATTTTTCAGCCGCCAAAATTGAACTATGAATTCCGAAAAATAATATCACTAGGCCATTTACATGTGATGAATGAGTAATTTATTACTTAATTGATCACGTATGTATTATCAAAATAAATATTTGATTCCACTGGTCACATGTAATTTCATAATTAATCATAAGAAATCAATATATGCGTGACAGTAAATTCATTATCTACGCAATCGTGACTTTGAAAATATTGAAGACACATATTTTTCATGAATATCAAGCGTGGTATTCTTTTCCATTTTGTGAAGATAAACTCTGGCTAAAAAAAAAAAAATGGAGTTAGGTGGGGACTTTATTTCTATTTTAATTAATTTTATTCTAAGCGACTTGGCTCTTCATGCTTTTCAAGTTTGTAACCTGTTTCGGTAAATTGAAGTATAAGCATTTGATAATTTTTATTTACCATGTTAATAATGAAAGATGAAGAATATTATGATTACCTTTTAACAGATACAGTATGCACACCTACATGTTCATTTATTTAATACATGAATTATCACCGAATGCTTAAGTCAATTGGTATGGAATCGTCCTAATTTAATTAGAGATCTCGAGTTTGAGTATTGTAAATGTAGCCAATGTGATAAATCTCTCAATGGAAGTGTAGTAGAAGTTTCTCCCAAGAATGACCTAACTCGGTCTTAGTTTGAATTAGTTTGGCCCCATGTTTGTGGGCTAGGACACTAGAAGCTATCATGAGAGGAAAAAAAAAATGCACTGGATGAGCATTAAAGCAATCAATATACATAACATACAAGTATATAAGAAACTGTATTCTTTATAAATCACGAGCAATGTGAATCATTTACTCAATTCATGCAATATATTAAAAAAAAAATAAAAGTATTTAGTTTCATATGTGCTGAAACTTCCAACACTAGGTTCCAAATAGAATTGACCGTATATACATGCCAATATATCTGAAGATGATGAATAACATTTTTCCAATATTATATATCTGATACATGTCACCTTAACAAGTGTGCTTATTGGTAATTGGTAATATGATAATAATAATAATTAATAGAATAATATATCCATGACCCTGTGGCCAACTAATTAATTATATATATTCCTCAACAGTGGCGGCCTGAGGACCTTTGGCTAATGGAGGCATTTTTATAAAATTAATTAACTAATTATATTTGTACTCTACTATTCAAAATATAGAATTATATATCTAAATTTTAATATTACTCCTTCTATTGTTACTTGTTAAAAAAAAAACTATTACTTTTTATTAGCATTTTTTATAAGTAAAATTACATATGCCAAAAGCATTTATTATAAATTTTTAAATTACCTATCATAATTTACATTAACAGAAAATAATTAATATATATTAAATAATTAATATATGTTTATGTTAATTTATATAGGATATTATACTTCAGTTTCTTTATTTTTAAATATAATTATTATAGTTAATTTTTAAATTATGTAATATAATTTTTTATTTTATATATAGAAATAGAGAAAGACGGTAAAAATATTTTTTTTTTCAAGTAAGAAAAAGTTAACATTTTAGTAGGTTTAAAATTGTATATTTTATAACATTTATTAATACTTTATGAATACTGAGAGATTTATTTCAAATTTTATACAATAGACATTAACATCAGGAGAAGAATCTCATCATTTTTTTTCTCTATCATTCTTTATTTTTTTTATTTTCATAATTTATTATTTTTATTATTTTTATTTAATGAGATAAAAGTTTGTTATTGTTGTTGTGTATTATTTAAAAAATTATTTAATAAAATAATTTAAATGGTGGTTATAGAAAAAGTGGAGAGA